CAGCAGATGTGTGACAATTGCTATTTGTTTCAAACAGCTGTTTGCCACTTAGTTTATTTTTTCATGCTCGTTCTTCTTTCAATCATTTCTTTTCAATTTTCAAGAGCTCTGCATCAAACTTGGCCTTCCAACTTAAGAAATTTCAGTTGTAAGAAGAGTGCCATGAAATAATTGCTCTTGGCTTCTTCAGCTTCTTTTTCTTTTTGTTTCTCCAAAGGCATAAAGATGTTCTCCTGGAGGATAAGTGGTATTGCTCTTAGAGAGAAGTATGAACGCTCTTCAGATTCCGCAAAAGTATATAACTCAATTCAGTGACTAGTTGAGAAAGACCTTGTATATATAAGATACAAGACTAACATTTCAAGGGGCACTAACATAATTATAACAGTGATATGCAAGGAGGAATATTTAATAACAGGAATAAAATGAGTACACAAAATATATGACAAGGCAGCATATAAGTGAGGCAAAATAGAAACGGTGGAATTTCAGAGGAGAGGAAAAATCAGACAAAAGTTCCAGGTAGAAGCTGCAATATGAGACAGGAATTGCAACAGATTTGGATTCTGAAGGAAGGGATGTGAGGTATTGTTCCAGGCAGAGACAATTTAGGCAAATAAGTTGGCTCCTTTGTAAAATGTTGGTAGGAATTATAGCAAGTAGTTCAATTTTGCTTGAGAACCAGCTCTATATATGTAAGGGTGAAATGCAAGGTCAGGCTGGAAAAGTGAAATGAAGACACATAATTGCACAATTGGCAGACTAAGTAATTTGTACCTGATGTGACAGGGAACTATTGATAATTTTTTAAATAGGGTGGAGTCGTGATCTAGCCACTGCTATAGAGAGATGGTTCTGGCAAGAACATAAGATGGGCTGAAGGGAAAGCAACTAAGCAGGGGACCAAATAGGAGACTATAGGAAAAGTCTAGACTGGAGGTCATCGGTACCTGACCTAGGGTAGTGGCAGTTCAGACAGAGGAGGGGACAAATGGAAGAGATGTTGTGTGGGAAGGATCTATTATGTCTGTGTGTCCAATATGGTAGCCCCAGCCACAAGTGGCTATTTTTTTTTTAAGATTTTATTGGGGAATTGGGGGAGGGGAACAGTGTTGGTGAATTGGGGAAGAGGACCAGCCAAGTGGTTGTTCTTCAATCTTCGTTGTGGAGGGCGCCAGTCACCATTTGGCTTCCTGTTGGCAGCTCGTGGTCTCTAAGCTCAAGGTGCTGTGTTCAGTCTTAGTTGTGGGCGGGCGTAGCCACCATCCCATGCGGGAGTCAAACCAGCAGCCTTGTTGTTAAAAGCGCATGCTCTATCCACTGAGCCATCTGGGTGGCAGCTCAGCTCAAGGTGCCAAGTTCAGTCTTAGTTGTGGGTGGGCGTAGCCCACCATCCAACAGGCAATCTTGTTGTTACACCAGTTGAGCCATCCTGCCACCTGTTGGCAGCTCAGCGACAGCTAGCTCAGGCGCAGCGTCACTGGCCCACGTGGGAATCGAACCGGTGGCTCTGTTGCTCAGAGCTTGTGCTCTTAAGCCAACTCTTAACCAACTGAGACACTCGGCCGGCCCCCACAAGTAGCTATTGAAATCTCTTTTACATTTATTAAAATTAAATAAGGTTTAAAACCCAGTTCCTCAATCGTATTAGCCATATTTCAGGTGCTTGATCTCCACTGGGAGACTACTGTTTTGGACCATTGTCAGATGAGAAGATTTCCATCATGGCAGAATGTTCTAGTGGACAGTGCAGATTGCTACATTTTGGGGACTGACTGGGTACAGGGATGGGGAAGACGGGTTAAAGGTGGCTGAGTAACTGCAGAGGGTAGCGCTGCGAGTCCAACAGGGAAGTCAGGAGGAGGAAAGATGTTTCGTTTCTGTCAAACACCGCACAGGACAAAGTGCTGACACAAATCCTGGGTGTCCACAGTGAAAGAGGAGAGTGGGTAAAACAAAGCACCCAGTGGGCTCTCCCAAGGCTTGTAAAGGGCACCAGCAGTATGTAGTTGGCTTATCCTCTCCTCCACTCAGTTTGTCCCCAGCTTGTGCAGCTCCCTGGGCCTCTCCCAGACCAATGGCTCACGTGTATACTGGGAGGAGGGCATAGGCCTGAAGGCATCATTGCTGCTTCCCCACTCCAGGCACCTGCCTGAACCTTTTTTTTTCACAGATATCTTCGCTTCCTCTCCCAACTGCCTCACTTACCCTTCCCTACGCTCGATCCTTGGAAAGTCCCCTTGCCCACATGTATTTGATTGCTTCCTCTTGAACTTCTTTCCCACAGCGACCACTGAACCATTGGCCCCACCGCTTTTATACTTGCCCTCTCTTCTCTCACAACTCGGATTCCAAGGTCTATCACTAATTACCAATCCTGGACATAGTCACTGGCTCACATCAGGAAAACCCAGCCCTAGTTAAATTCCACTCTCTTCTACCTCCCACCTCACCCCCACACCCAGCAGTGGAATGTGGCTGGAGAACCACACAAACTTGCTGAGTGGTCTCGCTTTAAATATAGGACCACCAACTCAAGCGTTGTCCAGATTACACTTCTCTAGTAACGCTTCCACTCTTCAAGGGAATTCTTTCTCACCTTCTATCTCCTTAAATAGCCAAAAGCCCCTCCTCATTCATCACTGCACAGAGTAAAGGAAAGTACTGTGAGAGGCAGATGGCACACACAGTACTCAGTGCAAATTGAGAAACTGTGCAGTGTATGTGTGTAGGAATGCTAAAAGGCATCACCACTCCAGGTGGAGCAATTAGAAAAGGTGCCCCTTCCAACAAGTTGATGTGGCTTCACAGCTTGGTTGGAGGAACAGGGGCTGGATTTCAACGTCCACCTGCCCCCTTCTGTTCCATGGCAGCCTGAGCACACCACCACCAAATGTACTACCTGACCTACCTGCATTTGCAGCCAGACTCTGCCTTCTCTCCAAAAACTGTGTGAACCTACTGTCCTTGCTTCTATCCAAAGCCAACCTCTTTACTTCTATGCTCCGTCCCACTGCATCTCACCTACTTGAGGACAATCTTTCTCCAGTTGTCTCCTCTTTTGCAGGATCACCTCTACCTTCCGGGAGGGTCATTCCAGCATACTAACATGAGGAAGCATCTCCCACTTTATTTATTTATTCATTCATTTGTTTGTTTGTTTGTTTGTTTATTTATTTTAGCTGAGCCATCCTGCCACCTTTTGGCAGCTCAGCAGCAGCTCAGCTCGGGCCGGGCATTGAACCGCTGTTGCTCAGAGCTCAAACTCTTGAGCGAGCTTTTAACCAACTGAGTCACTCAGCTGGCCCATCTCCCACTTTAAAATACCCTCCCTTGATCCCAAGCAATCTTCTGGCTACTGTCCGCTTCTCACTTGCTCTTTACAGGATAGCTCCTCGGGAGCTCTTTAGACTTGCTGTGAGAACTTTCTGTTCCTCACCTCCGATTCTCTTGTTAACACACCCTAATCAGACCTTCTCCTCCTTGACGCCATTGAAACTGCTTTCGTCAGGGCCATCAGCCTCCTTCATCAGGGCTAAATCCAGCCTTCAAGCTCTCAGATCTCACTTGACTCATTTCATTAGTATTTGATAAGACTGATCACTCCCACCTTCCTGAAACAATCCTGTTATCTTCCAATATTCCACCTCCTCCAGGTGTTCCTTCTACCTGACCCCTAGCTCCTTCTCCTTTTCTACTAAAGCTCCAAGTGCTGGATGTAGTTCCTTAGACCTCTCCCCAGCTACTATCCCTCCCCAGGTGATTTTATGGAAACCTAATGCTTAAAAAGCTTCTGTGTGCTGATGAACCCCAAATTTTTATCTCAGATGCATGTATCCAATTGTTTACTAACATTTCCATTTGGATGTATACCAAGCACCTATGTAACATGTACAAAACAGAACTCCTGATTTCCCCCACCCCGTATTTTCTCTCCTCTTTGACACTTTCCCCATCTCATTAAATGGCACCACCATTAACCCGTCCTTGAGGCCCTGAACCTAATAATCATCCATGATCTTTTTGTTCTTTTACACACTCTCTGCCAAACCCATTTCAATTCAAAACGTATCTGAATAGCCCTCTTCTCACATCTCTGCCACTACCCTATTCCACCAACCGCCTCCTTACTGGTCTTCCTGCAGACATCTATGCTTCCTTATTGTGTGTTTTACACACATTAAGAGTAACTTAAAAAATGTGAATCAGATGTGGTCACTCATCTGCTCACACTCCCATGGCTTTCTGTTGCTCTTATAACAGCCCGTAAGGCTCGGCAGGATCTGGCCACTTGCCCACCTCTCAGCCTAACTACTATTGCTCTCTGGCCAGCTGCCTCCTCTGAGCAATACTGGCCTTTCGTTGTTCCTGCAACATGCCAGGCATATTCCCACCTCTGAGCTTATAGCTGATTTTCTTTCAGTTTGGAAAGGCAATCTCACCCCTACCCCGGTATTTGCTAGGTTCATTCCTTTATATCATACACGTATGTGCTCAGAGGTCTCCTCTGAGGGGCAATACTTGGTTAGCTATAAAGTCACCCCGCTCTCTGCTTTATTTTTCTTCACACCACCTGAAATTTCTGTTTACTTGTTCGTTGTCTGTCTCCTCTCTCTCACCCCACTATAACTCAAGCTCCACCATGGCCCTTGCTTGCCTATGGCTTTGTCCCTTGCGCCTAGGACAGTGCCTGGTACCTGCTAGGCGTTCAGTTAGTACTTGTAGAATGGTCGCATTCCCTTTCTCCCGAGCCCTCGGACCCTACCCCAGATCATTTCCGGCCCTACACACCCCGCCCCATCCCACCCTCCACAGAGCCGGAACTCGCCGCACATCCACCATCCATCTTAGCTCTCCCCACCCCTTCCTGCGCGGCCCCTTTAAGTGGACTCCGGAACACCGCGGGGAAGGCGGGGACGAAACCTCACGGACACTGACTCGGAGAGGCGGGGAGGAACTAGGGGGGCGGGGCTTGCGTGCTGCGTGCGTGCGCGTTCTGGAGGCGCCGCCGCCGCCGCTCTCGAGGCCGCTGCCGCCGTCGCCGCGCAGAGCCAGAGCAGGAGCCACGGCCGACAGGAGGGAGGAGGTGGAGGAGGAGGTGGAGGAGGCGCCGGACCGGGGGGGTGAGTGAGGGGCGGGGAGCCGGGGCTGGCCCCAGAGGGAGCGGGGGGCGCGGGTCGGCCGAGCCGGGGCTGAGGCGGCTCCTGTCGCCGGTCAGTCCCCTGGCTCCCCCCTCCGAGCCGCGTTCCCTCGGTGTCCGGGGCGGCGGCCCGGGGGCCTGGCGGGAGGGGCCAGGGCTCGGGGAGGCCCGGCCGCGGCCGCCAGGGCCAAAGCCAACCACGCCCGCGGACTGAGCCGGTCGACTGTGGCTGGGCCTGCGGGAGACGGACGGGAGGGGCCCGGGCCGGGTGTGGGAGAGAAAGAGGACATTGTGTCCCCCACCCTCCAACTCCCGGAGGTGTCATGGCACAAGCCCATTTCCTTCGCCATCTCTCCGGACACACTGCCCTCGCCCCTTGCCGCCTGAGAGGTGTAGAAGATTGGACGTCGGTGCCTTTTTTCCCTCTTATGTCCCCAGACCAGGGTCAGACCTGCCTTCAAACCCGGCTCTCCCTTTGGGGGACACGAGAGAAGGTGGTTGGAGGGATGGGTGAATTTCCTGTCCTCCCTCCGCTGCTTAGCGAGGTGCGGGCGGCCCGGAGCGTTGCCCTGTCTCTGTTCACTCCTGTCAGGGTCCAGCGTCTCCGTTGCCTTCCTTTATTCCCCCAGTGCGCAGGGCTGACATTTCCACATCCCACCCCGCTCCCAGCCCCTTTCCCGCCCTCTTTCCCCCCATGTCTTCCGCAGCAGGCCATGTGTTCGCCTTTCCGGCGTTGCTCTTCTTGGGTCTCTGCTCCCCCGAATGTTGTTAGGGACGAGGTGCCTGCGATTCTTGTCTTCCTTCAAACTGGGGCTGGTAGGAGTGTCGCTGGCCCTTTTTTACTCAGGAAGTTAAGGGACAGTGTCTTAAGCTGAATTGTGTAATTGACTGCTATGGGGAGAAGATGAGGGGAGACACTCCTGCCTAAAAAAGTGAATCGCCTCACAGGGCTGAGAACCAGAGTTTAGGGGACCTTCTGACCTCTTGGGACAAGAACCAGCGTTGAGCAGTTACATTTCTTTTTGGGAGGGGAGATCATTTTGACATTGCTTTCATGGGAAGAGGACATAGAAATGAAAGGGAATAGTAAGAGGGCAGGAGGTTAATGGGCCACCGCCTTACAGGTGGCCAGTTTTCTGCTTTATGGGTGTGGGAGGAAGATTCTCGCGGTTTTCATCACAGCAAGCGTCAAGTATTGGCTTTAGTTTTAATATGGGACTCCTACCTTTAAAAGCAAGTTGAAGGGGGCAGTCTCAGAAGGGATGCTGCTGGAAACAGGATTTGGAAACTTTTGGTTTCCTGTCAGTGTGTGGGGGTGGACATGCGCGCCGCGTGTGTGTGTGTGTGTGTGTGTGTGTGTGTGTGTGTGTGTAGTGTTTCTTTTCGTTTGATGTAATTGGTATCTGCAATATTTTGACATAATAAGCACTAAATCTGGCCCCGAGCTCCTTTGTGTCTTTTATTATGATTTCCTATAACACTTTCTGTTTTGAAATTATATTTGCGTTGGTTGAAATTCTTTTTTTTTAGTCTGGTGTTTCAGTGAACCTTGTTTCCTCGGTATTTTGAATTATGTACTGCAAACTATGATTACGTGTAGGGTATGGAGGATTGTATGGTGCATGGTAGACATTTGGTATTTTTTTATTACAGAAATTTGTCTTAAGTGTTATGTATCTTCTGTACTTTTGAGATGTAGCTTATACATTTGAATATTGCATTTCACTTCCAATATGTAAAATAGTAATGCTTGACCTTTTTAGGCCACTGATGCCTTTGAGAATATGGTGAAATATATAGACTCTGCAGAAAAAAAAAAGTAATAGGCATTTATGTACAAAATGTTGCCATTTCAGGGGTCCTCTGAAGCCAACCATGGTTACCTGTCTCAAAAGTAAACTGGAATCCCTGAATATTATTCATTTCCATGTTAAAACTGTTCAAAAGCCTTTGTTCATATTCTGTGTGGTCTCAGGAATAACAGTGTTTACACTTACAGATTAAACTTTGGGTCTCTGGGAACAAGATTTAAGAGTGATTGTTATTACAATTTTATGGGGAAAAGTTCTCATTAGTAGCTATTAACAGTCAGTAACAGTTACGAATGGCTTCCAAAGAAATAAGATTGTTATAGTTGCTTTTGGCAGCTTAAAATTGTAATCACAACTGATGTGATTTTTATTGTACAGACTTCTGAGCAATATCTACAGCACTTGAAAATGTTCACAAATCAAACAACTCAGTTTTCCTTTTCTCTTCCAAGCTTTTTATGTGCATGGTTTTTCATGTTGTTAATAATTATTGTATCGACATTCAATGTTAATTCAACAAGTGCTTTTTGAATGCCTATTATGGGAATAAAACAAAGTCCTTATGTGATAGTTTATATTCTAATCAGGAGAGATGGGCCATATCCAAATAAATATAGAATATGTCAAATGATAAGAGCTATTATGCAGGAGAGTAAAGTAGAATAGAGAATCAGTGGCTGGGAAGGGTAGACAGGGAAGACTTGAGACTGGAATAGAGACCTGAAGGAAGTGAGTGGTGTATGCTCTCTTGGGAGAAAGGTTACAGGCAAAGAGAACAAGTGCAAAGACCTGTCAGTGTACTTGGCCTTTTTTTAGGACAACTAAGAGGCCAGTAAGCAAGAGGAACATCGAGAGAGCTTGAGGTTAGAGAATTATCTGGGGCCATACTGTAAGGCCTTGGTGAGAACTTTGCGTTTATTTTGAATGAAATGGTTTTGAGTGGAAGAGAGACCTGTTCTGACTTAAGTTTGTGAGAATCATTCTGGCTGTTGTGTGGAAATCAACTTGGGGCGTGAGAGGCAAGAGTGGAGGAAGCGGGAAGACCAATGAGGAGGTTAATATTCATTTTAAATCTTTTTCAGTGGTTGCAAAATAGTCCATCTACCTGCTATTGGACATATAAGTAGCTTCCTTTCCCCCCTATTAAAATAACAATGAAATGAACACTTTTGTATATGCAACATTTTCTTTCTTTTTGGAATATTTGCTGAGGGACTGATTTCCAGAAGGACTACTGAATCAAAGTATGTGAATATATTTGTGTTCTTGGTGGATCTATGAAGTCCTTCAAAGAGTAACTAATTAAAGTGATAGCCACAGTTGTTAAGTTTCATGGCAATGTCACTTTCATTGAGTATTATTTTTTAATACTTTAAAAGTTTGAGTTATAAAAAGAGATCTTTAGGGCCGGCAGAGTGGCTCAGTTGGTTAAGAGCTCACTCAAGAGTTTGAGCTCTGAGCAACAGTGGTTCGATTCCCGGCCCGAGCTGAGCGGCCGCTGAGCTGTCAACAGGTGGCAGGATGGCTCAGTTTAAAAGAAATTAAAAAAATAAAAAGAGATCTTTTAGATTGTTAGGCTTAATTTTCTAATAGCTCGTATTTAGAGTTCGTATATTATTAGCTCACCTCTTCGTTATTTAACAGGGTGCTAATTTGGGGGGATAGAGAAATGAATTAGCGTCTCTACCCTCAGGGAGTTTTACATTCTGTCTTATTTTGTAATCTAATAGTTAAATAACTTCAAATCTTGCCAGTGTTTACTGTTACCCATGAACTTTATTAGTATATGGCTGATGATCTTTTATATAAAATCAGTATTCCAATCAAGCATTTAATTTTTCATATTGAGAATTCCTTTTTTTTTTTCCTTACAAAGGGATCTTTAAATGGTGCCTGCAATTTGTTGGTATGTGTTAGAAATTTACAACTGTGACAGCACCATGTTTTGATATTTGCGATAAATTATGCAACTAGTACTCAGTTGAGGACTCTCACAGTTGAATTTTTAAATTGTTGTAATTCTTTATAGTTATTCAAAACAGAGAGTATTGTTTCTGTTAAATAAGGTCAGTATTGCATCTTTGAAATTTTATTTATTTTTTTAAAGGAAGATGATGCCAATCTGTTTTGATAGGAATTATACCACTGTGAAGGCATTGCTCATCATTTCTGGTTCTGAAATCTAGATGGCTTGATTTGGCATGAGCGAGCAACTCCAATCTATGAAGTGAGTGGGTTGAACTAATTGAGTTACCTGTAAGCACCTAACACTGTGTCTGATACATGCTAGGGACCCAGCGAATGCCCATTGAATCTCAGATCACCTCTAAGCTCCCAGTTCTAAAATTCTCTTATTTTAGAAATTCAGTAAAAATATCTCATATAAAGCATTTATATCTTAATGTTGTGGTGAGTTTAAAATTGTGAACACAAATTTCCTCCTAATGTTCCTTTTCAAATTAAACTCATGAATTTAAAAAAGAGTTATGGCATATTTTCAAATATTTTCCGCTCATTCTGATATCATGTAGGTTGCCTGACTTAATGCCAATCACGTGGAAAAGATTAGTGTTAAACACAAAAATACTTACGCTTTTGTATGTTACTGAGATAGATGAAGCATCCAGTTTTTCCTTTTTTTGTGCGTAAAATTTGCGGTAGTTTTTAATGTGCTTTTTCAGTCTTTTTATACACAGAGATAATATTGGCTCATTCACGTTTTGAATTTTTGTTAACAGTGGTTATGGGTTTGCACTGAATGGTTCACATAATCTCTCCAGTCCCCTTCACACAGTTTTGAGATGACTGGTTAGGAGGGCAGTTTGTTTCCACGTTAAATGATCCAGATGAGCATTGAACCTATAAGCTTAGTTTATCATGGTATTCTGATCAACAAAGCAGTTCGACAGAGAACTATGCCATGCTCTCATTTCCGCTTAAAAATAGGCCTTTTAAAAGTAGAAGGTACAGGGGCTGGCCGAGTGGCTCAGTTGGTTAAGAGTTGGCTTAAGAGCACGAGCTCTGAGCAACTGAACCGCTGGTTCAATTCCCACATGGGCCAGTGATGCTGCGCCCGAGCTGAGCTGTCGCTGAGCTGCCAGCAGGTGGAAGGATGGCTCAGCTGGTTTAACAACAGGATTGCCAGTTGGATGGTGGGCTATGCCCACCCACAACTAAGACTGAACTTGGACCTTGAGCTGAGCTGCTGCCCGGATGGCTCAGTGAATAGAGCGTGTGCTCTTAACAACAAGGTTGCTGGGATTGACTCCCGCATGGGATGGTGGCCATGCCTACCCGCAACTAAGACTGAACTCGGCACCTTGAGCTGAGCTGCTGCCCAGATGGCTCAGTGGATAGAGCCTGCGCTCTTAACAACAAGGCTGCTGGTTTGACTCCCACATGGGCTACGCCCATCTGCAACTAAGATTGAACACAGCACCTTGAGCTTAGAGGCCACAAGCTGCCAATAGGAAGCCAGATGGCTACTGGCTCCCTGCACAATGAAGATTGAAGAACAACAACTTGGCTGGTCCCCTCCCCCAATTCCCCAATAAAATCTTTAAAAAAAATAAATAGAACGATTACCTTTAAAAAAATAAAAGTAGAAGGTACATGCATGCACCAATAAAAAAAGGAAATTGTGTGTGATGATTAAGGTGGAATTGAAACAAAAAATAGTGCACTTTTTTTATAAATGGTCTAAAAATAATCCTTTTAATATAATTTTCGTAAGTACATGATATATACATGGAGGATTAAATATGTTCTGTGAAATTAACTTTAATCATTAGACAAGTTAATGGCTTTTTTGTACTAACGACTTATTTATTTAGGCTGTATAAATTTAAGTAGATAAATCTGGAAAAAAAATTGCTTTGCATATCCACTTTTCCCAGATACAGTTTCCTATCTTTAGCCTATTGATTACTTCACATTGATAAAGAGTGGTTCAAAGTGTGGAGTGGTAAAGTTAACCAAATTTGGAATTAAATATGTAATCCATGTTTGGTTCTAGAATATATTTAAATTAGGCCATGTTGCATAAGAATAGGAATATACCAAACTACACATTATAACTGATAAAATACATTGTTGGATTAATTAAAACTTCAACTGCCTTAGGTTGAACTCACAAGTATATATACCTATAACACGGTTGTTTGCAGTGCTATATTGTATTCACTTATTCTGGTTGTAAAAAATAACTTTGATAAGGATAGAACTATGGCTTAGTTATCAACTACAAAAGTGTAAAGTAATAGAGGCACAAAGAACTAAAGAACTGGCTACAACTGTTTTTTTTTTGGACAAATCCCAAATGCAGCTTGTAAGATTCTAAGTTAGCAGTAGTAGGAAATTCTTCTTGTTGCAGACTGAACATTTCAGATTTGTCAGATGTGTAACCCAGAGAGAAAATTCATTCACTGTATTTTCAGTGATATTTTTAAGTTCATTTATAAATAGAATCATTCTGTTCTAGAGAAGTATTCTAGAACATTAAGCAAGTAACCATGACTTAATTATTTTAGCAGTTGAAATTTAACGCTCATCTTTGGATTTTATGTAGTTTTCAGTATCTAGTCCAAATCATTGATGTCTTTTGAAACACTTTTTAAATTCCATTGTATGCTTATGAAAACGTTGCATAATTTCATTAGTAGATTTCAGATTCAGTCATTGAACAGATGTTTGAGTGACCCAATATTAGGCTCTTTGATGGAAACTGAGATGTGAAGCTGTAGTTTCTATTTAAGGAATTTATAAGCTACTAATTTATTTTCTTTGCCAGAACCTGACATATGTTTTATAAATAAATGTATTTTCACGGTAGAATAAAAATAAAATGATATTAATGTCTGAGTAAAATATTTTAAATTCTCTTAGTTGCTTATTAACTGTTTCTGTGATCTTATTTTCTAACAGCTTTTTAGCATTAGAGCAAACCAGTTTCCCAGTTTAAAATATAGCAAAATAAGAATAGTTTGCTCTACTGCCTGTTAACTTCAGTCAAAGACTTTTGTTTTTTTTTTCAACTTGGTTTTCTGCATATATGCCACATTGTGGGGAAGTTTCTTTCTTGTTCGGCTAGCAATTTAAATTTTATGTTTAATGTGAGAAGTTTTTTTGTGTGTTTTTTTTGTTTTTGGTAGTACAGCTTAATATTTTTTTCTATACTGATTAAAATCATCCTGTGCCATTAAAGTTAATTGTCCATTAGAACAGAAATGTACATATAGACAAAATGCATCGGTGTGCATTTTTAGTGACGGTTGGTAGCTTGCCTGCTTTATTTCAGGTCCGTACCCCGTTCCTTCCCCCACCACCACCACCACCACCACTCCCAACTTAACTATTATGTACTTAAAAGGTAACAAAAGTACATGTAGTTAATTTGCAAAATGAGAATAGTTTTTCTGATTTTGCCATTTTGCACGTTTTGAATTAGGATTAATTGGATGTGTATTATTTTCAATAGACACAGTGAAACAGTTCAACTGTGGTGCTTTCTGTTGGAGTATTGGCTGACTTTTAGTTAGTGAGCCTTATGCAGTTTCATGAACACTTACTGAGTTTTGGATGGCATTCTTTATACAATCTATAAATGGGAGCATAATAGAAGTTAGAAACAAAAGGAGTTTGACATCTTCGCATTAGGAAATGTAGTTTGTATTCCAAGTAATATGCCCTTGTTAGGTTCAGGATCATTTTCAGTGCTTATAACTGCTTAAACATTGTTTTCCTGTTTAAAATAATCTATGTTCCATTGTGGCAAATTTGGAAAAGACTACAAATGTAAAGAAATATTGAAAAGCACCCACAAACCTATCACCCAGAGATAATTACTAGGAACATTTTAATGTACATTTTTCTAGTTCTTTCCTTGTATGTACAGATTTTTTAATTTCTAAAAAAAATGGAATTATACTTTTATGTAGATGGTTTTGCTTTTACTTTTTTCTCTGAACAGGATATTGTTTTCTTACCTAGTGTGGGACTTTTCAGGTTGATTCTTTATAATATTACTATTTTAAATAACACTGGGGCATACATTTTTGTGCACTTATCTTTGATTGCATCTCTTTTTTTTTTCTTTCTTTCTTTCTTTAGGCTAGATTCTCAGAAGTGGGATAACTGGACAGAGGGTGGTTACCCTGTGTATAAGAGTGTGTGTCTCACTGCACCTTCAATGGCATTGAGTAGGTCAGTTTTTACCATCTTTGCAATTTGATAGATACCTTTTACAATTCTTGGGTGGTGATCATAAAATTCTTATTAAAAATCTGTAAAACCGTCATTAGTAATTTGCAGTCTTCTTTGAAAAAGTTGGTTAGAATGAATTTCTTTGAAAATATTTCAGATAAAAGTAATCCTTCTGACATAAAAAGGTGTTTCTTGAAGTTATAATGTGCACTTCGTTCTTTTATTGGAAAAAATAGCATTTTAATGTCTCCCTTTACTAAAATGACAAACACGAGAAAGCTTATTTTATAGTATGTAGTAAGAAATGTGATGTAAAGGCTAAATTTCTTCAGATAGATTGAAGGGGGTAATCACGTGGTTCTGACTAAAAAATAAACCCTTAAGTGTGTAGAGTAATGGCTCTGGAGTTAGGCAGCCTGGGTTCAAATCCTTGCTTGCCACTTACTAAGCACATGATTTGAGGCACCTCACTGAGTGTATAATTCGAGGTAACTTACTAAAGATATGATTTAATGTTTCTGAACTTTGGCTTTCTCATATTTAAAAGGGAAATACTACCTACTTCATAGGATTGTTGAGAGGATTTGAAATACTGTGTAAGACTGCTTGGCACGTAGTAGCCATTTAATAAAAGCTAGCTATTGTTAAATTTGGGTGGGTTTTTTTGTTTTTTGTCCGCTTTGGTGGGTGGGGCAGGAGATGTCACTTGTGTGGCCTTGCTTACGTGATTGAATGCAGAGATGTGAAGTGGCCAAGAGCAATGGCAGCTGGAAGGGAGTGGTAGACATTCTTTGTGGTAGGAATGGCATGAGCCAATATAGAAAGTTCAGGACAAGCTGCTGGAGGACAGGAAGCTGATTTGACAGAAGCCTAGGTTTGTAGAATTAGAAAATATGGTGATAAGGCTATAAAGATAAATTGAGGCTAGAATTTGGAAGTCATTGAATGCTAGGTTGAGAAGTATAAACTTGATTCAGGAGTGTAAGAAGTTTTGATAACGAGGAAAATGACTCCATCTATTGGAAGGAGTACTGAATGAATTGAGAAAGGAAGACGGAGGCTGTTTTTAATAACACAGGTAAGGCAAGATAGGAGCATTTAAAGAAAAACAAGAGGGAAGGTTTTGGGGGGGATTTGCTGGGAGTCACTGTTGTGAAGATCTTTGGATCTTTAAGTGTAACCAGTTTAGAGAGGAATTCGAAAGAAAGAGGCTGAGTGTATGAGATAGGCTACATGGAGTTAGGCAACCTCTGAAAGAAGATCAGACTCAGTACAGTGTGGTTGTTGCAACCTTTTTTTAAAAAATTGAAAGGTAAAAGATTCCTGTTAATTCATCAGTGAAAGCATGTTTATGCTATTCCTTTGACAAATTTATAGTCTCCTCAGATATTTTATTTACTTAGCATATCAGTTCTTAGTTAACAGGGAATCCTCACTGTTAGACATCGAATTCCTGGAATGTATTCTCTTAAAATACTTACTTCAGTGTAAAGTGAAATTCTTCTGTGTGGTCTTTCCAGGATTTGTAAATGTAACTGGACTTTAGGAACATCAGTTGTATGAGTAGAAATTATGGAAAATGAAGTATAGACTTCTTGTTTGTTAAGCAGCTTATAATGTTGAGGGCAGTGAAATATGGAGCAATAAAAAATAAGAAATTGAGTATATGATATTTAGAAAAAGTATTTTAGTACTTCTCTCCCCTCTTAATTTCTTAATTAAAAAAAAAAAGTTTGAGGCCGGCCGAGTGGCTTGTTGGTTAAGAGTTGGCTTGGGACGCCAGCTCTGAGCAGCAGGGCCCTGGTTCGGATCCCACATTAGAGCCAGTGATGCTGCGCCCTCTACGGCTAAGATGGTGAACAACAGCTCGACCTGGAGCTGGGCTGCGGTGAGTTGCCAGCGCCAGCGTAGGGTGCAGTGAAGCTGCAGTGGGCTGCCGTGAGCTACTGTGAGTGGCCGGCAGCCAGCGTGAGCGGCCAGCAGCTGATGTGAGTGGCCCTCCAGAGGCCGGCGAGCGACTGCCTCACCCGGGAAGAGTGCAATGATAATACCAACATGGGCCAGTGAAGCGACGTCCTCCACAACTAGACTGAAGAACAAAAGGACAGCAGCTTGTCTGTTCCCCTCCCCCATTTCCCCAAAAAAATCTTTAAAGAAAAAAAGTTTGCAAACTCCTTTCTTAGTCATTCTGGCACTCTATGCTAATTGCACTTTCTACTTGGCTAAATGATATGTAAAGGAAGTTAGCCTAAAGGTTGATGGTAAACTCACATGACTGAATTATCTGCTCGCTACCTTACTTAAGTATTACCAGTTGAGAAAAAAAAAGCAACCTCCAATTTAAAAATAATAAATACAGGCTTGTGATACTTTCAAGGTGTTTGCATTTTTTTAAACCATTGAGTTGTTATACCTTTCTAAATGATTTAGTTTTCAGATATTTTCTAAACTCAGAAATAAAGTCCTTATTGTTAATTTTTATTTAACTCTCTTCCTTTTAAAAGTACCTTTGAAAATATTTTTATTTATGTTTTTTAAAGATTTTTATTGGGGAATTAGGGGATGGGAACAGCGCTGGGGAATTGGGGGAAGGGGAACAGACAAGTCGCTGTCCTTTTGTTCTTCAGTCCAGTTTTGGAGGTCGTGGCCCAAGTTGGCACCATCATTGCTCTCTTCCCGGGTGAGGCAGATCAGTCGCCGGCTTCTGGACGGCCGCTCACTGCGGCTGCTGGCCGCTCACGCTGGCTGCTGGCTACACACGGTAGCCCATGGCAACCCACTGCAGCAGGGGCTGCAGCCTATGCCGTCGCCGGCGACTCACGGCAGCCCAGCTCCAGGTTGAGCTGTTGTTCAGCATCTTAGCTGTGGAGGACAGTGTCACTGGCCCTCATGTGGGATCCGAACCAGGGCCCTCTGGCGTCCCGAGCCAGCTCTTAACCACTGCGCCACTCGGCCGGCCCGAAAATATTTTTAAATTATAGTCATGTGCCACATAACATTTCTGTCAGTGACGGACCGCATAGACGACAGTGGTCCCATAAAATTATAATGGAGCTGAAAAACTCCTTTTCCCTAGTTACAGTCATATCGAAATGCATTCCTCACGTGTTTGCGATGATGCTGGTGTAAACAGATCCACTGTAATGCCAATTGCATAAAATTGTAGCACATATAATTATGTTCAATACATACTTGATAATGATAATAAGTGACTGTGTTAGTGGTGTATGTCTTTACGGTACTGTACTTCTTATTGTTAATTTAGTGTACCCTTTCTCTTAGTAAAGATTTGCTGTAAAATAGTATGCCTCGTTACGCCAGCAGAAGCTTCATATACCTCGTGTTTGCTGTGTCTTTTGATTGCATCACTGTGTCTCATGCTTCATTTATTCTTGTGTTATTTTAGAATTTAGCGTAGCCCAAGTGTACAGTGTTTATAAAGTCTACAATAGTGTGCAGTAATGTCCTAGGCCTTCACGTTCACTCACCACTCACTCACTGACTCATCCAGAGCAACTCTCAGTCCTATAAGCTCTGTGCATAAGTGCCTTATACAAGTGTGCCATTTCTTCTTTTATACTGTATTTTTACTGTACCCATTCTGTGTTTAGATACATGAATACTTATCATTGTGTTAACCTACAGTACTCAGTGCAGTAACATGCTGTCCAGGTCTGTAGTCTAGTAGCAATAGGCTGTACCATCTAGGTTTGTGTAAGTGCACTCTGATGAAGTTGCCAAATGATGCATTTCTCAGAACGTATTCCCATTGTAAGGCAGAGTGTGACACTAAAAACCAAACGCAACACATAGTACTGGTGATTGTGTATGTGTTACTTTTTACAAATACCATGTTTTTCTTATGTGAAACTACAAAAGCCCAGATCTGGTAACTGCATGATATTTTGTTTACTAAAGAGACTTCAGATATTCAAAACAGTTATTTAATGTTGCAAACTGTAAGTTTCCAGTTGAGTCTATTTTGAATTGGTTCAAAAGTATTTCTGTTTGTCAACAGAAATTAGAACTACAGTCATTCTCCTAGGGTTGATTACTCTTACCCTTCCCCCTCTTCCCCAACCATAGCTGAGAACAGGATCTTCCCTGGTTTGGCCCATTCTGGCACTGTCACGATGATGGTAGCTATGGCTTTCCCAGTATGTATGTCTTCCATTCTTAGAAGCCTGTTTGCATCTTGGCAGCAAAAATAAGTTCTTGGATTGAGTGGCTAGCAGTTCATGATATACTATTGTAAGAAATTATTTAAAGATTAAAAATTATTATAAAATTATTATTTTTTAAAGATTTTATTGGGGAATTGGGGGAGGGGAACAGCGCTGAGGACTCCAGGAAGGAGAACAGACAAGTTGCTGCCCTTTTGTTCTTCAGTCTAGTGGTGGAGGATGTCACTTCACTGGCCCATGTTGGTATTATCATTGCGCTCTTCCCGGGTGAGGCAGCCGCTTGCCTGCCATTGGACGACTGTTCATGGCGGTTCACGGCAGCTCACGAAAGCTCACGCTGGCTGCCGGCCACCCACGGTAGCTCGCTGCAGCCGACGCTGGCAACTCACAGCAGCCCAGCTCTAGGTTGACCTGTTGTTCACCATCTTAGCTGTAAAGGGCGCAGTGTCACTGGCCCTCATGTGGGATCTGAACCAGGTCCCGCTGCTCAGAGCTGGCGTCCCACGTCAACTCTTAACCAACGTGCCACTCGACCGGCCTGTAAAATTATTTTAAAAATTACCATTTTATGTTAACTATACCTCAAGCTGACATTTAAAAAAATTCATTCAATTTTTACATGAGGTGACATATGAAGTGTGTGAAACATGAATGGACTGGGCTGGCCGAGTGGCTCAGTTGGTTAAGAGCTCGCTCAAGAGTTTGAGCTCTGAGCAACAGCGGTTGGATTCCCGGCCCGAGCTGAGCAGCCGCTGAGCTGCCAACAGGTGGCAGGATGGCTCAGCTAAAAAAACAAACAAACATGAATGGACTTTT